TATAGATATATAAGAAGTGTAACTGAAAATTGTTATGATGCAGTGCAGTCAGAAGAGTGTATGCTAGCGAGGGGTTTCATTCCAGACACTAAGGGACAGATTCTCATTCCATCTTTCAGTTTGTGGTAAAGGAGTAGATGGAAACTATTTTGCATATCTTCCAAGGTCAGAGCCAGTAACTTCTTCCTTTTAGCCCAGTTTAGCACATTTATTGTGTCCTAACAATTAATTCAAAGGATTATTGTCCTTTTACTCTCTTTCCAAACAGTAGTTTAGATGAAGTCAGAGAGAGAACAGGGGAGTGTCCTTTCTTTTGTAGTCTTGTGCCTGCACCAGAAATCCTGAGGTAAGGACTGACTGCACTGGGGAATTGCTCTTTCTACCCACATATATAAACCACCATTATAAATTAGATTTCAGTAGTTTTCTTTGTATTCTTCATAGCTTTTTATCAGCTGAAGGATATTGATAGTAGTTTGCTAATGCTCTTCTAAAAGTGTGCATTCTGACGAATGTCAATAACACATAGATTTGGACATGACAAAAATCTTCCAAATGCAAAAATAAGTAAGGAGGGTCTGCAAAGACACATCACAGGACATCTCAATTTTTAATCTCTTCCTATAAGTAAAATACCTTTTTGAAATAGTCTTAGATTATTTTGATAGGCTGGATTTTGTGTAATCTATCCCGTTTCTATTTGCTAGATGGCATTTACTTTTGTCTTGGTGTTGGTTGGAATATATATTCTTAATGCAATGTTTGTTCCATTTGTTTTGGGCCAATTGATATTGGAGTGGTAGCACTACCAATAAGGTGAAATTTTTCAAGCAAAGTGCTTGACAACTGTCTTGGAGCAAGATTGTAGAATTGTAAAGTTCAAGCATTTTTGTAGCAAGGAACATAAAATTTCTGTATGCCTTACTCTACCATCATAGAAGTGTGTTGGGAGGGTTTTTTTTGCAGGTGAAATAGGTATTTATAGAAAAGAAAATCTTAACAGAAAATAAACCAACTAATATTACAGATGGTGCTTGTTCTGAAAGGTGAATTTGCTGTTTTGACTACTAATAAAGAAAAGGATTTGTTCTTGACCACATGCTGTTTTTAAATAAAATCAATTCTGAAATAATTTCTCATTCACAGAGCACTGTTATGCTGTAAGAGTCATCTGAGTTACTAGGTCACAACAGCACTGCAATATTGAGGATTTTTGATACTTTAGCTGTGACAGCAAACAGAAGGCACTGGAGCCTGATGATATGACAGGTCATGTGATGGCAGGGAATGCCGTGTCTTGAGGCAGGGAGATGTGCGTGACCTCTCCAGTAAAAATGCATCCTGCAGTATGCAGAGCCCACAGAACTGTGTGGACAGCACTAACACCAAGAGACACAATTTGTAGTAGTTGGTCCACAGCAAGAATGAGATGTTGTAGCAGTCTCTAGCCAGTCGCATCTGGTGGTCCAGAGCTGCCCAGGAGAGTGAAATACTCCACTCCTGTCTGTTCCTGAGACTTGGTTGCCATGGTCACAGCTTTAGAGAGATAAAGACTTTCTTTTCCTGTATTTTATATGTATAGTAGGGGGTCATAGCAGTGGTGTTGCTGCTGTGTAGACACCCCGAACTCTTTCTGTTCAGCCATTGTTATTTTATGCTCCTCAATTAAAATTCTTTGGGCTTATTCATATTTAAATACTTCAGGTTTGAGAGTGAATTTTATTTCTGTCCTCTTTCCTGTATTCTCATGTACAAGCTTTGTCTTTTCTGACTCTTTATTTTTCTTTTCCTTGAAAATCAGACAGCATATTCCTAAAAAATAAGTTTCTGAACAATAACCACCCTGCCCCAGTATTATTTTGACTGTTTGCAGTGGTCAGACTGTCTTTGTCATATATACAGGTTTCTGAATCCTTTTCCCTCATCTTCCCTGTTTGTTTCTCAGATGTAATCAGGCATCACAGTATATAGGTCTCTTCCTCTATTTTGTATCTGCCAACTATTTGTTCTGTAAATTAGTATTTTGGGCTCTTCAGGAGAGTGAAGTTAAGCATGTAATATAAATACTTTGTAACACTTGCATGATCACACATTTTCCTGTGCACTTTGGGCCATTTTATTGCAGCTCTGGCTGTACACACAAACCTGTACATACAGATGTTTATAATAGGGAACAGGATTGGGTAGTATATGCAAGAAAGTATGAAGTTTTTTTTAAGAAAATAGACACCTTCTGGAAAGTGCTACTTAAAAGGGATTTGAGATAGCTGCTATGAGTGATACATAAATTATTTAAAGATGTAAAAGGAGATTTTTTAATAGATTTTAGGGTGCCATAATGTTCTGTTAGTAAGAAGATAAGCTGATTGTCCAGGGCATTTGCTAGTCAATGTTCCTCTCTAAAAATGTGCTTTAAAAATTAAAAAAAAAATACCCCACACCAATTGTAACTTCTCTATGTGAGAAGCCAAGCCCTGTTTCTTGCTTAGTGTGAACCCAGAAGGGCTTTTTTCAGTTGATGTTAATTTTCTGTTCTCCAAACTACTCAAGAAACGGCATACTTGCATTGGCATTGTTTTGATGCACTTAGAGAAGTTTGTTAGCAGCAGACATGTTCAGTAACCCAACAACCTGCTGGTGGTTTCTCATTTTGCATCTGGTAAGTCTATAATATATAGAAGCATATCTGTCATCTACTTAAAATAAGTGTGTTAAATATGCAAAAAATGAATTCACTTTCATTGAGAGTACCTGTATGTTCCATTCAGGTCATTGACTTCCAAGGTTCAATTTTGCTGTCCCATTTTCTGTACCTTTTGCCACTTCTGGTATGCTTCTTTCTCTGTCAACTAAATTTCTTTTCTGCAACCAGAAGTTGAAAAATTGTCTCTGAAGCTATTGCCAGAGAAAAGCTCTGATATATAGAAAATAACCCAAGCTTGTAGTATGATAACTGTAACTAAATTATATTCTATTTTATATTCACTAGATTATCCCACAGAATGGTCTGACTATGAGGGATGCCTGCTGCTGAGGCACTCATATGCATCTGAAGCTACCAAGACATGTTTGGAAGTTCTGTCTAATACCAAAGACTATGCATAATCACAGCTTTGAAATTTAGTACCATGTCCCCAAATTTGGATTTATTAAAACCTCATTTTCTTAAAAGGAAGCTGATATCTGGTAACTTCACAGGGCTATTGTGATAGTCTTGAGGACTCCAGCAGTGAATTGCATTGAAAGAAATTCAATTACAGAAAACAAGGTTGGATATACATATGTATACACATGCATACAAATATTCACTGTCTAGTGGACTTGCTATAGAAGTTGATAAAGTTTCGGCCCATCCACTTAAAAGTAGGAAGAAGAATGATTTCTTTGAATTTTGTTCATATCTTGCTCTAAATCATCCAGAGAGTTCTGTGGCATGTTTATAGCTTGAAAGGTTACTTTACATACAGAAAGCCAAAATAATATTAGCTGAGTGACAGTATTATTTCCAAATTTCTTCACTTTGCAAATGCTGTAGTACTTCTCAAAATGTTTGCTCATGTCCAGTGTGAACTGTATAATCATCCCTTGTAGGCTTCTATAAACATTGTTTTTGTGTTCCTGAAATACTGCAATGTGTCAGTGCTGGGAGCTTTGTAGACAGTTGAACTGTGGAGACCTTTTGGGCATCCTTTCAGTAACCATCCTGTTCTGTAATGGTCCCTGGCACTGGCTACAGGTCCTGGGGAGGAATTAAAAGAATGGTACATTAAAAACAATTGGGACTGATTCTTATTTCTTTCAGTGTAATATTACAGTAATCTGTGGGGTTCAACTGATTTCTATAGGGAACAAAGAATCAGGTGTCTTATTTTTTCTTCTGCTCTGAATTCAAAGACTTTGTATGAGTAGTAGAGATGATACTGAAGTGAACAGAAATGGATGAGTTTCAGAGAAATAATTTCAGATAAAGAGATTTTATATACACATATACACACAAACACTTTTATTGTATGAGATCCCTCAATCCCAGTCCAATATTTTTAGCAGGTGTTACTGATAGAACTTCAATGTTACACATTTTTTTTCTTGTAGCAGTGAAAGGGAAAATTCATGTTGTATTACTTGAGGGTAGAAAGAATTCAAACTTAAGGGAAAAACATTTCATGTTACAGTTGATATTTAATACTGGAAAAAACCCTTCTGATGTGTTTTATCTCTGATATTTATAGGAAACATGCTTTTTCAGCAATTTCCTTTAATTCCTATAGGAAATATGTAGTATATAATAATAAATCATTTCAAATACATTTAAGCTCAGTTTTGATATCTTTAATGTTAGTTATAATTAAAATAGTATTACTAAAATTATTACTAGATAAAATTTTTACTAAAGTAATATAACTGGTATAACATCTAGAGGATTTAGAGCCCAGAGAGCCATACAAGTGATGAGAGAGTCTCTGAAACATCACATTCATATCCCTGATGACTAAGCTACATGTATATTCATGCATAAACCTTCTTCATGTTTGACAATTTTTCAGAATGGAATGAAAAAAATTGAGCTTTCTCTTGCTATTTGTAATCCAGAACACTAGAGGACAGCACTAAAATATTACATAAATGTGTTGTTTACACTATTAATGATATAGATGCTCTGGGAGGGCTTTGTGAGGAGAAAAGAGTTTTGAACAGTTAGGGTAAGTGATATTTTTGTGAATATCTTTGGCTCCCTTTGAAAACTGCATCTCGCTCCACTTGCATAAAATATTTGGACCTGCTTTTGTCTGAAACAAAATTATTTGCTGCAGTGATTTCTTTAGAAATTAAGCTTTATTATATAGCAATAGTGTAGAATACATTTTAAATTTTAAAAATTAGTTATTTGCCTCATCTGTAAATATATTGCGATTTACTTGTTCACATGTAATGTACAATATTAGTACTATGATACTTACATAGCTCATTGAAAAAGTTAAACTTCCATTGTGTTTCTCTAGGCACACTGGAACGACATGAAACTGGTGAAACAGCAAGGGCAATTCTTACTGCAATTGAAGATTCAGAATACTTAGTGGCAGATGCTCTACTTCCTGTGTCTCAGGAGTCAAAACGAAGCAAGAATTCTGGATGCAAACACTCCAGCTTGTATAAGCATGGCATGGGCCCTTATTTTGCTCATACAGAGAAATCTTCTGATAAGGTAAGGGTGAAGAGTAGAGCATTTCTCCAGAGAAATTACTTATTATTCAAATTCTTTACCCTTTCACCCACTAATGTCAAAGTGAGATGGTGGCTTGGTTCTAAGTTTATAAAGCTTCTTCTGGCTGGCTCAGTTTTTTGCCTTTAACTCCATTCAATAGACAGAGGAGGAAAATGGGCAGAGGGCCTTATATAATCTCAAAGGATTTTCTCAGATGTTATTGCCTGTAGTTAGATCCTATTTCCTCCTGCCTCTAGCTTGTGACTGCACCTCTCAGTAGTACCCTGAGAATAACTGAACACCCCTCACACCTATTTAAACGTGTATGTCTTGAGAACAAGCACCTTGTGATCTGATGATGTTGGTCTTTCTCTTATTGTCCTTCTAATGAGATCACAGATCCCTCTTGACATTCAGGAATAGTTTTTGTGTTTTCTGTTAGCATCATCATAGAGTGGATTGCAAATGCCTTATTTCGTATTAGTGTGATTGAATTTGGCACCTTATTGGTTAAAAAAAAGATGGTAGTGCTCTTGTGAGGTACTGGACTGCAAATAGGTTTGACCATCTTCAGCAAGGAATTGTATTTACCTTTATCTAGAAATGCTTTTTTACTGAAATCATTAAACTAACTAATTGTGACTGATGGAGAAGATGTGCTCTTTGTTTTTGTTTTGAATAAGTAATAGAGGGAAATATGCTTCAAGTAGTGGTAATTTGCCGTTAAAATGGAGAAAATAAGTACAGAGACATCAAATCGTGGGAACTAAGACTGAAAATGCAATAGTCACTCTATTTTCTTGTGGCCTAGATACATCTATACTTCATCAGTCATTTTAGATACTTAAAATTAATATAGTAAATATTAATTTTAAAACTGATTATTATAACTGTATCTAATTTAATACAATCTGAAATTCAATGAGATGGGTATTGCCTTTTCCGTGTAGAAAAAAAGTGGTACAAACCTATGTTATTAAACCCTATTCATGCATCAGGAGGTAATAGAGTCACTGAATTCCTGATAAGAGTGTATCTTAAGAATAGGAGTTTCATGTTATTCTTGCTTACCACTTTTTAATTAATGAGGTTTGGGAATTCTGTTCTCTGCAATAAGCAGGGGAAGCCACGTCTCCTATTCCTGAAGCCTCAATGTACACAGAAGGTATTTTACCACAACTATTGCGAGTGAAAAATGCTTTCCCTCAATCACACATAGAAACAGCTTTCAGAATGGTCTCTGGTCTTTATTCTGACTTTATTAATTATAGGAAATGAACTAGCAGGTATTTCAAAACTGAAAAACTACAGATTGATCCAAATCCTCACTCTTGAATGTTATGGTCTTTTCTTCATTGTATCTTCAAATTTACATATAATATTGAGTTTCTAATGATTGTAGTTTAACTTTTAATATTTTTCTTTGACCTTTTACTAACCTTTGTCTGATTTCTAAAGTTCTTTTTGATCCCATTTTCTGAAAAGTCTTATTAGCGCGTAATCCTGCTGAGCATGTTGTGGGGCAGATGGTGCACTAGTTGGCCATTGACACAGAATCTGATCTCCCTGTTAGTTTGTTAAAAGGAATAGTTTCTTCTTGCCTTCTTAAATAGGAACAAAAGAAAAAAGTTTTGGTAGTTGTTTGGTAAGTAGTTTTAGGTACATCTATTAAATTGAAAATTGCATGGATTTAACAAGGTGGGAGGAAAGAAAATGGGCTGATTATGAAATACGAGAAAAGAATTTTTTGTAAACTTAGAAATGTGGAATTTAAAATGCTTTGGGAATTATCATGATCTTAATTTGGGAGAAATATCACAACAGGAAACCGTGGAAATGTAATAATTGGTAGCTTTTTTTTGATCTGATATAAATCTTGTCTGCTCTGGTTTCTCAAAATAATATTCTATTTTCATGTTTAGATATTGTTCATTAATTATATTTTCTAAATGCAAGCTTATTAAGAATGTTATTGATGTCTCTTAGACTTTTTCTGTCAAAATATTTTTTTTTTAGTTTCCCATTCTTTTTTGTCACTACAGACCTGTTAGGTTTCTCTAAATTTATAATAAATTCTTTACCTGGGAAAGCACTTCTCATTCATCAAACGTGTCATCCAATACATTCAGAGCTTCTTCCCACTTGCATCTGCATTGGAGAGGATTCTGTAGATTGGTGTGGGAGAAGCTGGAGTTAGAATGTATTTAGTGTAGCTGAACCTGGGAAAAACATAACAATGGAAGTCCCCTTAATGCTATTGCAGAAGCCCAGTGCTGGCTACACAAAAGGAGAGTGGAACTCTGCAGCCTTTTTAGCACTGGTCTGTTATTGCTGAATTGAAGGCTTCTTATGAAGTCTGCTGTTTTTCTTAAGTTTTGTGCAGAAAATATATGTTTTTTAGGTTTTTTAAAAAGTACTCTATTGACTGTTTTGCATCATTGTATTTTAGCATCTTGAAATATTCTAGAAATTCAGATCCCATGTTAATGGGAGGGCTGTGGTTATCAGACTGTAACATTCTATGCCCTATTAATTAAAGCATATAATTATTACACACATAAAACTATCACAAAACTTTCAGATTATCAGATAGTTCTAATATAGAATGAGTGTTTCATTATCAATATCCTTCTTTAGCAAATTGTGTATTAGAAATTTAACAACATACTTAATTTTTAATAACTTTGCTATCAAAAAAACCTCATCATCAATTTTAGCATATATTAAAGAACTCAATTTTAGAAGATTTATGTGACAGGAAAAATGAGTGGGTAGCTATTCTGCTCTGTTGGTATTGTAATTGTGAATGATCCTTTTGTACAATGACTGATCCACATGAATATTGCAAGTTAAATTCAGCATTTATTCTTGCCATTATTACACTGTTTTATCATTAGTATTATATTTAAGATGAAAGAACGTTTTCAAAATAATGGTCTCTCTTTCCTCCATCCTGAAAAAGATTAATATCCTCACAGAGTACTCCAGTTTCAAAGGCTTTCTTTCAAAACTTTTGCCATCATGTAAATCACATATACAAAAGCAGAATGTTTTGATTTCATGGTGTTTTGACCATTTTAATTCTTTTATAGCGCTGCACGTGCCAGTGGGAGTACCAATAACAGATGACTGTGACAAATTCAGTTAACACAAGATCCATATTAATGTTGTCAAATCCTCTTGATATATTTAAACAGATTTTAATTATTTTTAATATCAAAAGACCCAAAATATATAGCTTAATAGTTCTTCAAGAAAGCTTTACTTAATATGTGAATGTAAAACCTCTCATAAAAATGAAACTTTTATATTGGCCTTAGTCATTGACATAGGGTATTCATCAAGTCAGCAATTTGTGTGGCAAAGTGCCATTTGAATAGTGTATTGTTAGAATACTTATGGTCCACTTGACAAGGGCTCTTGCTGTAAATAGTGCAATTTGACTCCAGCTGTTAAAGAGTGGCTTTGACAGCAGCCAAATAGAATGGAGATGCTTTACTGCACCGCAGAAAAATCAATATTGGGTTCTTGTTCATAGTAACCTGTTTTCTTTTTTTTTTTTTTCAGATTTATACAAGACTATCTAGAGTTCATTTGTGAAAGTTTAAATATTATTTTGAAAGTGAGGCTGTTTTATTTTCAGATTAATGTTGGTGAATGATGCTTGTGTTTAACTAGGAAGAAAAAGACAGTGCTTTGTGGATATGCATAAACAATGTGATGATGCAGCATTATTGCAACTCTGTTTATAGGGATAAATGTTAGGATGAGGGTGCATAAGTTGTGTAACTAATGACAAAAAAATGTTCTTCCCTTCCTTTTTTTTTTTGTAGTGCTACTGTAGTATCCCTGTCAATTTTCTAAGTATAGGGTTTTTGTAAAAGCAGGTTTCTTTGTTGTTCTCCCTGTAACAACCCCCACAGATGTTGACAATCTGTAGTGCCATTGTAGATTTTCCTGAAGCATGGTCTTGCTAGTGCTGAACAGTTTTCCAGCAGTATTCAGTGACACAAGGTTGCTATGATACCTGGCCAGTAGCAATAGGTATTGAATCACTAGTCTTAATTACAATAGAATACACACTAGACTGTGCTCGTGGTGTTTATATGGAACTAGCTCTCATTGTGCCTTTAAGTCATAGTTCTGTTTGAAAATTGGAGCTCTGTGACAAACTGATTTTTAAAAAATTGAAATGCTTTAGTGCCTCGTATGAAGATTTCATTGATGCACATAAAAATCTGGATGTGTCTGGGAATTGTTTTCCTGATGTTCCAGAAATCCTTCATGTTGGAAAGTTTCCTACCTTTTCAGCTTCAATATTTTGGATACAAATCTGTGTTTATCATGTACTAATATTTCTCGTGATTTCAGTAAAGTAATCAGAATGGTCTGGGTAGAAACATTGGAGGGAAAAGCAACTTATGAAATCTGTGCGATAGTTGCTAAAGCTTGAAATTTTAAATTATACTACTGAAAATCTAGATCAGAAAAGGGATTTTTTTTCTGTGTATGTAAGACAAGGCAGAGATGGGATGAGAAACATTCATTTACATGTGGATTTTTATAAGTATATATATTTTTTGTATATTAACTCAGCAATTTCTTAAAGTATGTTGTAGTAGGAGTCCTTTAGAACTTGATCTTCACTTACATAATAGTATATATATATATATTCTGCTCTGAACAAAAATATGTAAAGACAAGAATGTCCAGAAGTTATAAATAATAAAAGAAATATCTACTTTGTTGCTGCCCAGAATAAGAGGCAAATGAAAACTATGGGACAATAGCTGCTATTTGTTTTAGTATAGCAAGGGAAGCAATATGAAAATAAAATTGTTATTGGAAGCCTGGAAAATCGCTGCTAGTTAAATCTTACTGATGGAAAAGTTGATAGAAAAATGGAAATAAGATACAAGCACAAATGCAAAATAATACTTAGCAAATAGGAAATCAGGAGTGATACTATAAACAATGGTGTCACAGACATGGATTCCTTT